CATTTAAACGGAAAGAAGAAACGGCGGAGGTTTCATGGGATTATAGAAACCGAATGGAGATTCCTCTACGGTTTAGTTGGACTTTTTTTTCATTCAAAAATTGTCTAAATAGAGAGATATTATATGTGGATACAGTAGAACTCTATAAGTTAATATTCAATAAATTAATAAATACTATAAATTAATAATTTTTTTATAATTTTAAATTGGAGTGGTTCAAAATATGACATAATTATATAAGATAATAAGATAATAACTTTAACAAAACTTTTATGTAAATATATGATCGCATTAATATCATAAATTACTAAATTATCATATACAAAATCTGATATAAATATATAAGTGAGCTAATCTACTAAAATCTAAATTTAGTGATGTCTTTTATTCATTTTAAATTAAATTTTTTCTGGAACTCATTTTAAATTTTAGAATTTTTTGTTAAATTATAAAATCTCTTTTAAACTTATAAAAAAACAGTTTTTTATTTGAAATCTATAAATTAATAATTCTATAAAATAATAAAATATTAAATTTTCAATATTATTAATTTATAAAGTTTTTATTATAAATTTAATTTATATACCCTAATATTAAAAGCTATCTAACAACGAAAAAAAAAAAAAAAAAAGCCAACAAGCAAAACTTTAATGCTCCTCGACATGATGAGTCCGAAGACTCTGCAAGAGTCAGAAGGTTTTCATCAAAAGGAAGACCATATGATCAATTTTCTGTCTCATGTTAGTACACTCTGATAACTATTGTATATTTGTTCGTGAGGGGACAAGCTTTCAGGTTTTATGATGCGTCTCAGTGTTGCATTGATGATCATTTAGATAGGGAGAGAGAAGCTACAGTGTTGTGATAGTCTCTTTGCCTCCAAGTTCCATTATGAGTATAAAAGAAGTGTCTTTGCCATCTTTAATTTGTTAGTGTACACCTTATTCTCTTAGGGTTTCTCGATTTTGAAGATATCTGACGCATACAGTTCATTATGATTTCTCATGATCGGTTGCTCTTCCACCGCAGGATTCCACCATGGATCCTAATTGTTCAAGAAACAGAGAAAAATATCGTCTCATTATCATCATGATATCATCATAACAAAGATTTTTTTTATTCTCTTGGTTTCTCTCGTTTTTTTTAATAGTACGATGTTGGGATAGTGGTTAACACTATCAGTGGTTTCTTTACATGACTTAATTAAAAGGGCATTTGGCTTACTATCTCCAGCTTCAGCAGCAAGAATTGCGAAAGGTGATAGGTTCTGGGCCTTTTTGCTATATGCTTTCCATGTTAGGTTCAATACGAATTGAAGTGATCAAAAGATATCTTAAACTTCAATCATAGTTTCTCCTGTGCAATTATCTTTTATATATATTTTTGTTTACTTTTATACTACAAAAATTGGTGATGAAACGGGATACAAATCCAAGCAAAGAGTGAGAAAATTCTAAGAAAAAACAGATCATAAAGTTGAAGTGTCATTTCGAAGGGAAAAAAAAAAAAAACAAACAAAAAAAAACCAACCAAATGTTTCTAGCACATGGAATTCAGCACAAATTGAAGGATCAAACCAATTCAAAATGGCCAAATCACTCAAACTCATGAAGCCAAATCCCAGGAGAGGAGAGTGAACAAAACAAACTACAACGAGATACGTGTTAAAGCTCGGAAAAAACGTTAACATCTTTTACACAAAATTAAACTGTCATATAGTTTGGTAATAAAGTGGCGATAAATGTGTATGTGTGTTCAATCAAACCCATATCTTCATTCGTCTCTCAAACCCTTTCAAGTCTCAAAGAAGTTAGCTCTGCAAATGCCCATCTGCTCAAGAACATACTTTTCTTTCTCCATAGCGCTCTAATAATCTTTTGCGTCCTGTTTCATCGCTTAAACTTCAAATAAGGTATATGAGTAAGAGCATGATTAATGGAGGTTTTTAGTAGGGGTTCTTAATGCAAAAGAGATTAAAATTAAATGGGAGATAATTACTTTCTTAAAAACCTGTTCTTAAATAAGAACTTTAAAAGCTGATTATTCTTAGAGAGGTTTTTAGTGTCCCGTGTTGATGTTTTTAATGCTTAACTTTAACTTTAAAAAAATTATTATTCACTTAAAAAAAAAAAAAACTATTTTTAAAACTTCTTCTTAACTTCAACTTTAAAGAAGTTGTTTCAAAATTTTCCTGTATGTTTCAAATTTCATTCAATACAATATATTTTATGTTTTATTCAAGAAAATAAACTTTTTTGAAAATCAAAATCCTTTTGAGAAAATTACCTAGAATAACCTACATTTTTTTGGAAATAGCTACAGTAACCCCTCTAATATATTATTACTCACATAACCTACTAATTCTTTAAATAAATCTATAATTCCAAAATTATCCTTTCGATTTTTATAATTTTGTTTTCAGAAACGTTTATATTAAATAATTATTTTTTACAGTAAATAAATTAATTATTTTTAAACGAAATTTGGTATATCATTAGTTTTTATCCTAATATGGTTTTAGTATTTTCTTTTGAATCACTTCTCTGATGAATACATAAGCTGGTTATGACTAACATCAATTATAACTTCTATACCAATCAAAAGCTTTTTAATTTTTTTTTTTTAAAAAAACAAAAAAGAACACAAAGATATATAAATATACACTCAAGCATGCGTGGATAACTAAGAAATGTTAGAACTTTAACAGTACTAGACTTAAGATTTTCTGCTAAACTAACATACAATATACATAACCAACACACATATTAATGTGATTGATTAGACATGGTTTCATAAAAAATAATTATAATTAATCAGCAGACTTGCATAAAGTATATAAGTGACTTTAGATTATGATTCCACAGACTCATATTTTGTCTATAGTTATTTGTAAATTTTTTTGACAAATTTAAATAGGTGATCTCGTAGACTTATGTTTAGTAGACTTGAAAATCTCATTTAGCAGACTTTAGGCAAGCCTACGGATAGAATCTTTAAATCTGCCAAAAACACGAAGACTTTACACAAGTCTATCAAATGTATGCAAACATAACGTAAGTCAGTTGGCTTAAATTTTGAAGTCTGTCAGAAAATTGTAAACTTCTTATAAGTCTGCTGAAATCGAAAGTAAATCTGCAAGATAGATTTTTGAAGTCTGCCAAAAATTTATAAACTTCATGAAAGTCTGCCGAGTATCTACAGATTTGTAATCACTCTGCGTTACCAGATTTTGAAGTCTACCAAATTTTATAGATGTTACGAAAATCTGCCGAATAATTTTGGATTAAATATAAGTATATAGAATTGAGTATTGAAGTCCACCAAAATTCTATAGACTTCATGAGTGTCTGCCAAATATATGCATACTTAATATGAGTCTACATGATTGGCTCTTGAAATCTGCAGAAAACTAATAGACTTTATGCAAGGCTATCAATTGTTTGCGAACTTAAGGTAAATCTACCTATGAAATATGTTAAATTATGCAGACTTGAAAAGTCTACCAAAACATAGTAGACTTAACATTATTATTTTTTAAATAAAGAAGTTTCCTTTTTTAAAAAATAATTGATTTGTATTTAATATTTGTTTTATTATTGCTGATTTGATTTTCTTAAATAAAATTTTCGTTTTTAAAAATTTTCTAAAAAACAGTTTTCTAATTATTTTAGTTTGGGTAAAGAAAAATTTATTAGGGATAAAATAGGAAAATATCTTCTAAAAATTTTGAAAAATCTGAGTAGGTTATTTTGACTATTTCTAATATTTTTAGGGTTATTGTAGCAAATGTCCTAATTTTTTTTAATTAAAAACCTATGATGAGGTTCAACTATTGGAGGAGAAAAAACAAATAAATGAAGTTGTGGGGTTCTTAGATCAAATTTATATTAAAAATTGGTTAAGAACCCTTCTCCCATTGATGATGGTCTAATGTTCTCAGCTTGTCCAGTTCATGTTTAATGATATTTTTACTTTTCAATTACAAAGAACTGGTAATGAAACAGGAATTTAAAGTAAGAAATGAGAAAACTATATATAACAAAATCAAATCATAACGCTGCTTTAGCTAAGTGCCATTCAAAGAAAAAAAGAGAACAATAAAAAGCAACAAATTGCTACAATTAAAGACATTTGACTCTCAATGTGATTTGGCAAAACATGGAGCTCATCTTATAATATTAAAGGAGAAAGTACATTTAGAAAAATGATGTTACATGGTAAATTACAATGAATGTCATTGTATAAAAATATATCTCACGAACAAAAAAAAAACTTAAACCAAAGAGGATCCGCGTCCTTTTAAAATGACCCGTTTAAAAGGACGCAGATCCTAATTCTGACCCGTTTTTTATTTTAGTCAATTAATTATTTTTTTTAAATCTTCAATAAAAACGCAACTTAAACAAAATATCCTATTATTACATATAAACTAAAATTCGCAATAACTGTCGAACTCATTTGAATAGATTTGCAAGATTACGTATGCGAATTAAATCTACTTCAAATCATGTTATGATATCAATTATTAATTATACCAATAATTATTGTTACCAATTACAACAATACGCACTATAATAGTGTAGGCAATTCTAACCACTATCACATATCTCATTTGGTTTTTTTTTCCCATATTTATTGAACACAATATATTCTCATAAATGTATATTACTTATCATATTCCTTTAATTTCGAAATAATATAATAGGTGCTCATCTTTAAACTTATACCATAGGATATTTCAAATTTTTACTGTTTATATCGCATCTCCGTGTATATAGACAATTACAACTACTTTACAAAAACAACGTTATTTGATATTTGGCATATCTATTTCAAAAATTTAAATTTCACGAATATTCTTGGCCGCCAATTTTTGGATATTTAACGGTTTATCAATAAACCCTATATTTTTTGTTATAAATATACAACCCCTTCTTCTAAAACACTCCTCATCAAGTTTCGTTTTCCTCTCTGTTTTTTTTTTGTTTTTCATTGTTCATATGGCTTCCACAACGAAGCTAACCCCTTTAGCTGACGTTAAGCCTTATAGGACTGGGTGGAAGGTTCAAGTGAAGGTGTTTCATACATGGAAACAATACCAAACCAAGAGTGGGGAGTCTTTGGAAATCATCCTGGGCAATGAAATGGTACAATATATTATTAATCAACATTACTTTTTAATATTTTGATTGTTCTGTTAAATTTTTTTAACTTTTTGATAATCCAGGGTACCAAAATCCACGCAACTGTCAAGAAAAACTTGCTGCATCGTTTTGAACAGATGATGGTTGTCGGGGAATGGAAGTTCATAGAGAACTTTTCATTGAATCAGGCTTCAGGACAATACCGGACCACCAGGCATCAATTTAAGATGTCATTCATATCCTCTACAGTTGCCAGCAAAAGTTCTAAGCGGTCAGACAGTCTGTTTTTTGATTTCTCAGAGTTTGTTACAATATTGGACGATGTAACCAATACAAGTTTTTTGGTTGGTAAGTTTACTGATATATTTAATTTAATTTGTTCATTCATCTTAGTTTCAATAATTATTTGACGTTATTTTCCTAAATAGATGTTAGTAGACAAGTTGAAAGTTTCTGTGAGTTGCAAATAATATCTGTTATGAATAAGGACACCAGCAAACTCGAGTTCGCTCTACGAAATGCTAAGTGAGTATATATATATATATATATATATATATATATAAATACAAACACTTTATTTTTTAATTGTTTCCTTTCATCTGTTTTATGTGATATGTGTTACAGTGATGAACGTTTACCATGCACACTGTGGGGAAAGCTTGGTGAGGAAGTCTATTCGGTTTGTCGGAGTGCGGGTGAAAGAAGTGTCATTCTTGTGATCCATTTTGGGAAAATAAATGTTTTCAAAGGTACATGTTAATTTTGTTTATTCATATCATACAACACCATTGTTTTTTTTTTTTTGTTTGTTAAATATTGTAGGTGATCGTTGAATTACAAGTAGTTGTCAAACAACAAAGGTTCTGATAGATTTGAATGATCCCGATGTCATTTTCTTCAAGAATAGATAATTTGTCTATGTATATTATACATATGTCTTATCATTACGATTACGAATACAACTAATACTATTACCTATTCTTAGTTTACCTGAGAACTGCGGACGTATTGCCTTCTTGAGTAGCAAACCTCAACAAAGGGTTTCTTATGGTGATGAGATTCATTTCGATCAGTTCCCAATGGTCATTATTTCAGAATTACAAGATTCTCTTGAGGTATATGTCATTTTAAAACTTTGCTAAGGAAAACGTCATAGATTATATAATTTTGACATTTGTATTTTTGTTTCTACAGGTTGTGAAGTGTAAGATCATGTGCACCATCTACGCGGTTGACACAGACTGGTCGTGGTTTTATTTGGTTTGCACTAGGTGTGGTAAAAAAGTGTAAAAAATTCCAAAGAAGGAAGATCAAAAAATTACCAAGAAGAATAAGAACCTTTATTCATGTGAAACATGTGATGCAAAAGTGTCATTTGTGAGTGCGAGGTAAATGTTTTTACTATTTTTTAGTATTTGTCTTACTTATTTAGCTAACCGTGCATTCGAGTATTTTAATACAATCTTTATATATTGCTAAGTACAAACTTCATCTTTACCAGAAAGATCAAGTGTTTTCTTTTTGATAGAAATGCACAGGATATTTTAAATCAGAAAGCTGATGAAATTCTCAAGGGGAACTTTGATGAGGTATTAATTGTAAATATTAATCTATGATACAATTTTAACCCTTTATGAATAAAGACTTTATTTGTTTAAAGTCTTTAACCCTTTATGAATAAAGACTTTATTTGTTTAAAATGTACGTTATATACTTAGATACAAGATCCGGATGTCGTTCCTGATGCTCTGCAAAACTTGATTGGGAAGACTTTTCAGTTTCTGATTTGTGTTGAGAAAGAAAATCTCTACGGTGGTAGTAATACATACAAAGTCGGGAAGGTTTGGAAAGGAAATGATGTTTTATCCGCTGATAAGGTGAATGAATCTGAAGATATGGGTGATCAGAGTTTGCTCTTGTCTAGTAATAAGGTATAATTTCAAAAAATATTAGCTTGGGTTGCATATAATAATTTGTATATATTAATACACGGTATTTGGCCTTTTATGTTTATATTTATAAGTAAACCTTGTAGGTGTCGCTGATAAACACGCTGAGGCAAGAGCCTTCTTATGAGATGAAAATTTGACAAGGGATTCGCTCGTGCACATGGATCTGGAAAAGTGATAGGTGTGATATAGCGAAAAATATGGTTATTTGAATTCGTATCTTCTCATGTTATTTCGCTATTGTTGTTCAACTTTTTGTTGAAATTTGTTCGGATGATACTCGTGCATTTGTTCTTGAACTTGAATAATTTATTCTTTTAATTTAATCATTACTACGTTTACATTATTTTACTAATTACGTCTGTATCATGTTAATTTTATTAGGACGAAATTAATATTACCTCATGTTTTGCAGTGACATATTTGAGTAATTACTATAATATATGTATGATGAAGAAATTGTAGATGACTCATACATTTAATTCGGAGTACATACTTTATTTTATATTTTTCAAGATATTTTCCAATATTTATAGAAGATATATTCATTTATTTTTAAATGCTATTCTATGAGAATTTGTGGTAGTTGAGTCAACTGTTAGTTAATATGTTTTAATTAGAGCGGACTTTTGGGGAATATAAAACACCCGGATGAATGTGAGTAGTCATCTTACTTTTACGACTATAAATAAAAGTAGAAGGGAACTTTCTTCACTCGAATACAATTCTCTCTACAACAATTCATCTCATGTGATCTTCAAACAGACGTATAAAAACCATATTTACATCCAAGAAAAAAAATGTTTCTCTACTAAATATTTTTTGTACATCTGTCAAGGATCACATCAGAAAGAAGTAGTTTATTTTATTTCTTAAACAGTATTATTTACATTATATCATTCACCGTAAAATGTCGGATTATTATTTCTTGTATACTCATCTATGTAATTTATACCTAAGTAAATTACTAATTTAATCTTAATTCATTTTTTTATGTTGATGTTCGTGGAATTAATTATTAAGTATGTAATTATTATCTTATACACTTCATTCAGGTATTAATCAATATTATTTAATGTACAGAACAGATATAATAATTTAGTGACTGAATTTTAACAAAAAATGATATTTTATATAGTGGAAAATTCGATTGCATATATAATTTATAATCATATCGAGTAAATATGTGAATTACCTAATTATATATACTGTCTTAACGATTTACAGTATGCAATTAATAATTTATAATATTTTGCAAATATAGAGCGTGAAATTGTAATGGCAATGTTTTTAAGATACTTCATATCTATGGCAAGTAACAATAATTGTTATGTACATAATTCGATTTATGGTAATTTATTCATATATGTGAATGATAATTTCATATAAATATATTTAAATTGGTTATGTTCATTTATCAATTTGTATTTTGAAATAAAAAGAAATCTTTACATATCATAATTGATTAATAGATATTGTTAAGATTCACTTGTAGGATTTGCGGCCGTAAATTTAACCTGAACTCTTTCGTTTTATTCTTTGTCTATCTTCCCTCTTTAATCCCATCATTTTTGCTATATTTTGATCTTCACGAAGAGATTTTATGAGAGGTTAAATTATGCCTAGGATTAAACATGTTGATCGGAAGAATAAATAGAAGACTTTGTTGTCTGGTTGGAGCAGCCAAGTTAATAATTCAGGGTCATCATCTACTAATTCGTTTACTCAGAACTCAGATATAGTGGATAATCATTTTGAAAACGAGATCAAAGTTCATTCGCTGTTTCCACAAATTTTGGTAGACAGAACTAATACTGAATCCCTAATTAGAACACATAATCAATTTTCTCCTACTGTATGTGATGGACTGGAAAACTGTAAGTCTTCTTAAAATGATGTTTAGAAACTATTTTCTTGAAATCTTATATTATTATCGTTAACGCAATGGTTATAAATCATTAAACTTTAGTATGCGACATTATTATTTCAATAATTCAGTTTTACATACTCAAAAAAATTATAATGGGAAAGAGAATTCTTTCACATTAGAAAAGAGAAAGCAGAAGCAACCAGAATTACTATCTTTATGTGAGTTATATATGTTTGGCGTATTATGGTCCTTTATATATAATGTACCTTGATAAGTATTGGTTTTTGTAGTTTTTATTTTATTTATATAGCCGACTTATCCCAGTTGACATCAACGAAGTTAACTAATTGTGGGTCAAGTAACAAGTCAACCAAGTTTGTTTTTTTAGAAATGGAGATTCATCTTGTATACAAAATACAGATGATATATCTTCGTATGAAGATTATAAATGTAAACAGGAGATTGGTCAGAACTACAACAAGAATATTCTCGACCATCAACATCGTGAAGGTAAGTATTTATATTGCAACTAATTTTGTGCCCAGAAAATATCGTTCACTTGTATTTCGTATTGTTTTACATTCGTCTGTCAGGACATGTTGATTATAGTAGTCTTGGTGTTGAGGATCCCAAAGATATGTATGATGATGTCGTCTTCCCAAACAAATACTGGGATTCAGAAGGTAATATTTTTTTTGCTGTATTGACTTAATGTGCAATTATATACACTTATACTTTTTAACTAATAAACATTATATATTTTATAGATGAGTATGATTATGATCAGCGGTTTGACTGTAGCAGTCTTGATGGTTCGTCCGATGAGGAAAACTATATTATGGACAAAGCTGGCGAAAAAATTTCATCGAGAAACCTGAAGACTATGTTTATGATGTCAAGAGTTTAGCTACTATTTTGCAGAAAGCTTTTTCTGTAGGAGTCTCTAATAATAATAATCTTAAGGTATTTATTTCCAACGGTCAATCTTATGTTATGTGATTCACATATTAATTTATTATAATGTCGGACTACTTTTATATTCAGAATATAAAGGAGATGGCTGATGTGCTCAGGTTTTAACCCTAGTTTTCTGCAAGCGCACAGATGTACGTTGTAGTACTTAGGGGTCGATCCACTGAAGATCAAGTAACTGCAATACGAGTTTACTTGAGATGAGAGCTGAGCTAAGATGAAAATATGGGTGTTTGTTTTGGGGTTGTGAACAGTGACGACAATAGAAAATAATAAACTTAAAAACTAGTAAACAATAAGATCAAATCAATACGAGAAGGTATTGGGCGTTAGGGAATTCGCCGGGAATTATAGAATAGCTAACAAGAGAATCAAACATAGAGTTTTCTATAGATGTGTTCCTGAAATCAAACTCAGACTAACCTACTCACATAGTATTAATCACAAATCAATTCACTCAGATTTACTAAACTCTCATTCAGTTCTCTAAGTTTCTAGAAAAATTAGTTTGATAATTTCACAAAACGCTTTAGATCGACTCACGCCGTCTAAGAGAATTTGTTCATCTAAATAGGGTTAATCGATTCAACAACACTTTCGGTGAGTAAATCAACCTAATCGCAGTAGCTAGATTATCGATCAAAGCCACATAAACGAAACACAGATTTAGACGAAGAACTCTAAAGATAAACCCTAATCTAACAAACCAGAAATCAATCCATGAATCCCTTTGAAAAATCCCTTAAAACCCAACAAGGGAATTACTCAATCATAGTGTATAAAAACATCACAGAAGTATTGTAGTTTGCTGGAAATTAAATAAGAGAAAGGTAAAGAACAAAGAACGAGGATGAAGATGGAGATTGATGGTGGCTCCTTCAGCGACTCCTTCTTCTCCCGAAGATGGCAACTCCGAGGTATGCGGCTCTTCTCTACTCTCTCTCCACGACTTGGTCATTAGAATGACCTAAAATGAATATATATAGCCTTCTAATTCGTTGGAAACGTCTAGGGTTTGAAGAATGAGTAGTGGGCTGGACTTGGGCTTGAATTAGGTCAATTTCGGACGTCAACGTTGTCTGGCCGCGGTCGCGGTGGTCCTGACCGCGGGGAATCATGGTCTGGCCGCGGTCGCGGCCTATGCTCTCCTTAGAGACTGCATTTTCTGTCTTTAGTGCATCGGTAATATCTGAAGATCTAACCGTTGGATTGTCTCCAAACTAATTGCATTAGAAAGCTGGTTGTCTCGTCTTTGTTGTCTCAAAATTTGGGGATGATCAGACGGTGAAAAGGTCTCCATCGAGTATCATACTTCTAACGGTCTGCATTTATCCAAAATTGCTCATTTGTTCCAAATTGCACATCTTAGTCCAAGTTTCCTGAAAAATCTTTTAAAATTCTAAAACATAGAAATCACTTAAAAACCATTTAAAACAGAGTTAAAACACCTGCATAAGATATTAAAACGATCCATAAAAATGGTCAAAATCCGATGTTATCAATGGCTATCCTTCATATGAGTGTAATTATTGTGGTGCAATTTTCTGGTATGGTGAACGTTTAAACAAAAGAAGAAGAGCAAAGAATCCAATATTTTCTTTGTGCTATTCGCAAGGTCAAGTAAAGCTTCCATACCTTCGAGATTCTCTACAGGAATTAATGCATCTTTTTACATCTGTCGATGATCTAAGCAAACATTTTCGCGAGAATGTTAGACTCTACAATATGCTATTTTCAATGACTTCTATTGGAGGTAAAGTAGATAGGTCTATCAAAAAGGGGCGTGGACCATCAATGTTCCAGCTTAACGGAGAGAATTATCATCTGATGGGAGGTATGCTCCCAAACCTGGTGATGTTGCGAAGTTTTATCAATTATTTATTGTTGACACCGATGAAGAAGTACAAAATCGTTCGACCATTATGAGGTAAAAGTAATGATTGAATTCATATTTATCATTACTTTATTTTAATAATAATATATTTTTTCTTGCAGCAAAAGGAAAAATCCTATGAAGGTGTCTAAACGTAAACAATTTAGGAATGAATTAATTGATAGGCTGATTAAAATGTTAGATAAGGTGAACCCTTACGTGAAGAATTTTCGAGCTGCTAGAGACAGATTGAAAATGGATCCCAACGAGGAGCTTCATATGAGACTTAAAAATGATCGCCAGAAAGATTCAAGGATATATAATATGCCTACTGCATCTGAAGTGGCTCCCTTGATCCCTGGTGATCTGAATGAGGATATGTGTAAGCGTGATATAATATTGCAGAAACAACGCGGCAAGCTGATAAGGATTAGTGAAATTCATCCTTCATACATTGCTCTACAGTATCCTTTGATTTTTTTGTATGGTGAAGACGGTTTCCATATTCGCATTGAAAAATGCTTTGCAAAGACTAGGAAGAAGAAACGGAAACGAGAATATATTAGCATGAGACAGTTTATTGCATTTCGTAAACAGGAGCGAAAGAATGAATGTCACACTTTGCTGCTGGCTAAGAGGTTATTCTAGCAGTTTCTGGTTGATGTTTTTACTATGATAGAGGCAAATCGTGTCAGCTATCTTGACAAAAACCAGACATCACTCAGATCTGAAAATCTTGATTCAATATAAGATGCATCAAATAAAGGTAAAAAGAATTTGCGTGATCAAGGTAGAAAAACGTATTTGCCTCTTTCATTCACTGGTGGACCTCGATATATGACTCAATGCTACTTGGATGCAATGTCTGTATGTAAACATTTTGGGTACCCTGATCTTTTCATCACCTTTACATGTAATCCAAAGTGGCCAGAAAACACAAGGTATGTGAACGAGCGAAAACTCAGTTTTGATGATAAACCAGATATAATTTGTTGGATGTTCAAAATGAAGCTATATTCTATGATGATGGATTTTGCTGATAACAGACTCGATATAGGAAAAGTTGTTTCTGGTTAGTAACTTTGACATTCTTTAATATTGACATTTGTAATATTAATATTATACAGTTTATTTATTGATATATATTTTCGTAATTTCAGCCATGTATACCATAGAGTTTCAGAAAAGGGGTCTACCGCATGCACATATTCTATTATTTTTAGATCCAACTTCAAAAATTCTTCCTGAAAAAATCGACAATGTTATATCAGTTGAGATACCCGACCGATATAAAGAGTAAGAGTTTTATGGAATTGTTTCAGAAATGATGATGCATGGTCCATGCGGTGATCTTAATCCAAGATCACCATGCATGTCTCAAGGGATTTGTACAAAAATGTATCCTAAACAGCATGTTGAGACAACAATTATTAATAAAGAAGGTTTTCCTTTGTATAGGAAGAGGTCACAGCTCAAGGATTACGTTGAAAAAATGGATACAAATGTGATAATAGATTTGTGATACCCTATACAAGAAGTTGTCTCTTCGTTATCGAGCTCATATCAATGTTGAGTGGTGCAACCAAGCTTCTTCCATTAAATACTTATTTAAGTATATAAATAAAGGGTTTGATCGTGTTACGTTTGTGATTGAGCCTTCGCAAGCACAGAATGTGAAAGCTGATGGAGGAGATAATAATCATTGTGATTCCACACATGAATGTCAACCAAAGAAGAAAAATGAGATTAAAGACTTCTTCGACTGCAGGTTCGTCGTCAACATTTATTTTTGAACTATTGTCAGAATAAAAACTATATATTTATTTGAAAATTTTAGTTGTTTACTTCTAACATACTATTTTATTATACAGATATGTATCTGCGTGTGAATCTGCATGGCGAATCTTAAAAAATCCAATCCACAATCGTACAACCCCCGTGGAACACCTTTCATTTCACTTACCAGGCGAACAGTTGGTATATTTCAAGGGCGATGAGATGGTAGAAACGGTTATCCATAGGGAAGTTGTAAAGAACAGAAAGATGATGGCTTGGTTTGAGTTGAACAAAAAAGGCGGTAAATATAAAACACTCATGTATGGAGAAATGTGGGATAAATCACTTCGGATGTTTAAACCAAAGAAAAGAGGTTTTGCTATTGGAAAGATTTATGTTCCACGTAAACTAGAAGTAGCTTATATTTTGAGGATTCTTCTTAATGTTGTCAGGGGTCCAGAATCATTTGATGACATCAAATCCTACAATGATGTGGTATACCCTTCTTTTAAGCAAGCATGTTATGCTAGAGGGTTGTTAGAAGATGACCAGGAGTATATTACTGATATTATTAGAATGATTTTTACTGCTATCGGGTTATTTTTAAGACGACTATTTGTTATAATGCTTGTATCTGGTAGTTTGTCTCGGCCTGAAAATGTTTGGGAACAAACCTGGAAAATTTTGTTAGAAGATATTGAATACATGCGGTGACAGCATTGTAATTGGCCAGGTTTGATAAATTCCATACCGTTTTCTTATTTATTTTATTGTATCTTTAACGGCATTGTTTTAAACCGTAATGCATTGTTTAATTTGTTACTGATTAGTAAAATCATTATACATATAATTTACACGTTTTGCAGGTCTTATATTGGACAATGCTGATAAGAAAAAGCTTGCCCTTTTGGAGATTGAGAAGATCTTGAAATTTCACAATAGTTCTTTGCAATTCTATACATCAATGCCTAAGCCTCCAAAAGATGGATTTAACAACGATAATGTCTTAATAATTGATGAAAAAAATTATGATAGACAGGCATTAAAAGAAATGCATGATAGAGACATTGTGAAGCTTACCACTGAGCAAATGAAGATTTATGATGAGATTATTGAAGCAGTTGAGAACAAAAAAGGAGGCGTTTTTTTTGTATATGGATTTGGAGGTCCTTGCAAAACTTTCCTTTGGTATCTTTTGTCTGCTGCAATAAGATGTAAAGGTGATGTTGTGATAAACGTTGCATCAAGTGGAATCGCATCTTTGTTGTTACAAGGAGGTCGGACAG